CTTTACAATAAAACCCTTGATTGTCAAGATGGCAGTACGCAGTCAAGAGGTTTGTTTTAGGCATCGCCCTGGTCTTGGTCAGTGTCTGTCGGCATTTGCGTCTTGTTTCCCGGTAGCGTTCCTGGAACCCGAATATAACAAAAACAACAAATACTCCGTATTGGCCAAAACGCAGGATCAGTCCGTTCAAGTGCAAGGTAGGATTTTTTTCTTAAATTCCGTCAATATGATATTTGAAATTCCATTTGATGCGTTTATTTTGCTCTAATCACTATCACTTGAGCGCTATATCTTTCCGTTTGTTCGGAGTACCTCCAGCGTTATTTAGAAATTCACTTGGAAAGGAAAACTTTCGGATGTTGAGGACTAAGCTGAACCCCGCCCACAGGGGGTGGAGCGTGCGTGAACACGGGTGGCAAAGATGAAAACTCACAACTCAATTCCGAAGTAACCCTGAAATCAGATGAAGATGAGCTACAGATTGAAGAATGAAGTGCAGGAACACAGTCTTGGTGGGCGGAGAGCGTGCTGGAGACAGGGGAGTTCGGATGAACGGAAGCAATAACCAGGGCCTGTCGAGGGAAAATCGCTGGAAATGAAAAACCATTGAGTTAGCTGAACAATTGGGTAGACGAAATAAAAAATTGAAGGCGGAAAAGCAGCTAGAAGCTCAGATAAAGTAGCATCAAATAGCGAAGGCCCACTCGCACTGGGCGAGGCCCTCTCAAAAGAGGCACTCACAAATTCTAGCAATGTTTGACTTGAGAGGGGCATTTTGCACTTTTGCTTGTTCCTCTTGCTTGACCATGTAAATTAGTAGATCTCTCCTTGGTGGCACCCACGAATTTTTGTGAGGCTGCGAAATCGTGCAACTGAGCCACTTTGGTCACAGGAGTTTGCGGGTCTTTACGCGGTGACCTGTATAAGCTACTGAGTACCATTTGAAGCCCCACCATGCCGAACTCTATCCAAATTCGTAATTTGGTTAAAAAGCAGTCGAGATACCGGAAGTATGGGTTAGGACGAAAAGCGGGTTGACGAAGGATATATGAAGTATAGGTATCCGGGAGCAGTGCGTCGGAGCTGGTGGGGGTAAAACGAATATATCGTAATTTTTCTGAGAAATTGAAATAGATTTTGCCAAAAATAAGCACCTGGTCTAGCCGCAGAGCTGTCCTTGAATTGGGACCATTTCAGTACTGATGAGAATAAAACTAAGCTTTGGTAAACTAAATCGATTGCTATTCAGAAACAACCTTTGATTTACAGAAATGCTGCAGAATCTCTCCACACACATCCCTCACATCGAAAAATTGCTCACTGCTATCGAACAGGTATGTTCAGACTTTTTCCTTGTATTGTGAGCTGCTCCAAGCGTTATTTCTTCGGAAGTCAATTCAGTGACCCTTCTGGCAGTTCCTCTGCAATCCTCGAGCCTACTGTATCAGAGACAACTTCTGCTATTTCCCCTCAGAGCATTTAGGGTAACAGCGGTTTGAAAATAATAATTGTATTGCGTACTTGATAAGCCCCTGGATGAGAATAGAAGAGGAAGAAATCATTGACAGCGCTCTAATTGAGCTCTTTTCCTCCAGGCGAAAACCGGTTTCGTTGAGGTGTTGGACAAGAGACTTGGCAATAGAGCAGGGAACCATAAATGATCAGAAATTGCACAAGCATTGACCGTGGGGAGGAAGTCGCTTTGCGCTCATGTGAGCCACTAAACACCCGTGTTCCTTAGACGCTCCAAATTCGCACTTTCTGGCGCGAGTTGGATACTGATTGTTCATTACGCCGCATCTTACCTTTAGCTCTTCCCAAAGCAAGACTTTGATCTTTATGAATAATCACGAAATGTGCTGTTCGGCGCCAAGTTGCCTTTTACAGGTATCCAGTAATGGTATTATGTACAGTGAACAACCGAATGTCTATGATGTGGATTTACCGCTGATGTGCTCGTATGGGATATTGGTCAACCTTAGGCCCGGGATTGGCCGTAAAGACTGAGAAGACACAGAGAAAACAAGCACAGGCCAAATCGCTCTAGTTGAATCTTATTTTGTAAAATTCATATAGCTGTTTGTGTACAAATAGCCTGACCCGTGTTCGGGTTGAACATGCTATAATCGGACGGTACCGTGGAATTTCGGGGGATGTCTTCTTACATACTACTGGTGCGCTTTTGAAAAATGTACTGTGGACACCCGAATTCTTACTTTACAAGAACACTTCCGATTTTGGCAAAATAGGACCTTCACTATTCGATTTCTCGGGCACGGGAATTTTACAGTACTATTACAATGTGAGTGTGTTTAGAGTACTTCACTTCGCAGCATACTGTGGGCGACTTCTCATTCTTTTTTATTGCTGGAAGAAGTTCCTCGTACCAAAGGCATATGGACACCCCGATAGAAGATAGAAGGTAGAGGGAGGGGGAATAACCTTAATGATAGGTCTGGTAGAGTCGTGTCATCTGTTTGTCTCGGTGCGTGGCCGCGCAAAGAAGCCAAATATTGCCCCCATGAGGTGATGAACCACATTGCACTCCCGGCTGTCGTTGAAGACCCGCAGAGCGGTGATTTCCCGACGTTTTCAAAATGATATCAGTCAGTAAAACTCTCCAGACTCCCTAGAATAACGAAGAATAGCTTGAGTAATCTCAGATAACTATCAGTGTGTTGGTCGAGAAAACGCTTCAAAAAGTTTGCTGGCCCTAAGAATTACCGTTTTGGGCGCTCTCCAGTCAAATGGGTTTGCTTCATAAACCAGTGAGAAGAGTGCTGCTATATTAAGTGTTCAGGACGAAATAGCAAGATGTGAAAATACTACAAAATCATCACAATAAGGTGGGACCTGGGAGAAACTGCCATGTTAAAAACGCATCTCATGAACATTTTCTAGTTTGATTATCCTCCTGGATGGAAAAGGTTCAGTACTGACGCTCCGGATGGATTTCGCGACTTTGGAGTGGCCTTCGTAGGTAGCTCCTGATGTCCTTGGATGGCAACTTTGAAGGGGGTGTACATGTGGTTGGAAAGTCATAAAATAGAGCTTCCTTCCGACATGAAGCATGGGAAATCGGGAATACGAATAATTGGCTGACTCTCACATTTCGCTCTTTTTAAGAAATGGGCGATACAGAAAACATGTTCTAGGGCAGCAAAACGCGGCAGCAGTTCGTTTCCAGCAAAGAAATGGCTCTGCACAACGGTATGTTATGGGGAATTTGTCACATAGTTCTACTGACTGTTATCATTTGAAAACGTCAGGAGATCACGGCTCAGCGTGTCTTTCACAACAGCCGGCAGTGCAATGCGGTTCATCACCTCAAGGCGGCAACATTTGCTGCTTGCGATGCTACACACGAGACAACCATGAGGAACCTTGTTCAGGGGCCTGCGGATAAAATGATAGCCCAAAATAATAAAGGAGCTACCAGACTTTCACTTCAAGATATTTCATTTTTTCTTAAGTGTCCACATACTTTTGGTACAAAGAAACTTTTTCCAGATAAAAAAATATGAAGTCGCTCACAAGGTGCTACGAAGTGAAGTACACTATGGTTTCCGTACCTGATGCATTGAATGTTAAAGGTCCCACTTTGCCCAAAAAGATCAAAGTTGTAA